GGGGGGGGGGGGGGAGAGAGGAGATGGATGTGCAGCCATGAATGGCCTATGTGTGAAATAAATTATTTTTTTTGTTATAATAAAAGATAAGATAAACGATATAATGTAGGATAGACGATTAAATTAGTTTTTTTCTCACACAAACACAAAGACACATGCGACAGACAATGATGGAATGATTCATGAACGGAAAATATACTTTGAGCCCTTCATGAATCAGTTCGTTACATTCAACCATTATGATAATGATAGGCAAATTAATGAGGCAATGAGAGGACCAACGCAATATGTATCAGATTGAAGATCATATACGTGGTTGTGTGATGAGAGAGGGAGGGAGATAGAGCGCTTGAAAGGCTATTAGAGATGGAGAGATTTGAAAGATGTTCAAAAGTATGAAAGAAATTATAAAATTCACGTTCCAGATAGGTCAGAGATATACTCTCTCACAGAGCTTAGTTTGCATCTCAGCTTCTCCTACTGCACCTCTCCTTCCCTCTGATTCCCTCTCCTCCTCTCTCACTCTCTCTATCTTTCATTTATCTCTCTGTCTGTGATAATAAAGGAGCTGTTTCCATGACTACAAGAACCGGCAATAGGCTTAAGAGAATAGAGATAAACTGCTGACAGAAAGACAGAAAAATATATGAAGAGAGAGAGAGAGAGATAGAGAGAGAGTGAAAACAAGATGACTGAGAATATGAGACTAATTCAATATTTCTGAGATCATTAGTTCTCTTCTACAGAATACAGACCTGAAGAATGTACTCGTTCACCCTGAATTATGGGATAAGACTCTAAGGTAATAATGAGCTTGTTGAAATGGGAAGGAGGGAATTGCCAATAGTAAGCAGTAACTAGCATTAACAGAGATTGAGCAAATGACTCTCTCTATTGCTTATATGGTGATGTAGTTGAGGGAGAGAGAGAGTGCGTGCAATGACAGTTCCGGAAAAATACATATACATATGTTATATATATATATATATATAAATGTAAATGCCCAATAAATAATCTTTTAACAAAGAAAATGTTTGATAACTCGTGATATCAATTGAAATTCGAAGAAATTGAGTTAAATGTAATTGAAGTATCATTTGGGCAAAGTAACGTAATTACGTTTAGAAGGCAAATAATTGAAAAAAAAAGTATTTTTTCATGAAAAATGGAAGATTAGAAGACTGATAGAGAGAAAGTATCGTCTGAAGTAATTAAAAATATCCAAATGAAGTGAGGACTGATGAAGGAAACATCGAATGGGGGGAGCGATACAAAGGTCATTCAAAGCCAGCGAGGATTGGTGAGTTGTTGGATATGTTAAGGAAACTGCATGTGACTCATCACTAAATGACTAAACCGTCGAAAATTCATAAAGAATCACAAAAAAATGTTGTTTGGGAGAAGTGAGGGAGGGTAGGAAAGAGATAGAGAGAGAGGGGGGAGGGAGGGAGCTGAAAAGAGTCGCCCAAAGACATGACGGAGAAGGAGAGATGGAAAAAACGAATGAGATCATTTCTCAAAAGAAGTTAAGCGGACGTTCATGTGGTTTCTCCAACACACATAATTATGAGTAGCATTAACGTATTAACAGACATAAAAGGCAAACCATCAAATACGGATCTTTCTACGTTTGCTTCTTCATTCGCTAAGCCTAATTATACTAGTAGGCTCTCTTTTTCGGAGAAGATTATAAGCTCAGACGACATACTTGTTGTAATTCAGGTTACCTCAATTAATTATGGAATAACAACCATGTTTTATCTTTCACAGGCAATTAATTACCAGATTATTGAGAATATTGTTTGAGGGGGAGGAAGTTGAAGAACAAGAACGAAGGAGAAGGGGGAGAAGAAGAGATGGAGAAACCCAAAACATGAACGTTCTCTATCGTACTGCTATTGAGCCTTCTTTTTCTTTTCCAAAATTCAATCCAAGCTAATAGTCGAGAAAAACAGAGAACTGTCCATTGACAGAAATATAGAGCATCTGGCAAACATACGATTTCAATAGTTCACAGATAAATCGAAAAGTTGCTTGTCAGAGATGATTTGAGACCTGGCAGCACAGAAGAAAAAGAAGCTCGAAACATCTGTTGAGATCAGGGAAGTTGTCGAGATCACTTCATGTCACCTATCTATGTTCTTATACGAAAAGACAAACAAGGGTCAGAAAGGATTAAGCAGACTTTTCAACAACCAAGAAATTCAATTGCACGTTGAAGAATCCAAAAACAAGAATCTACCACGAATCCAATCACAACTTGTTCACAAAAATATTATTTTGTAAGAACATACTACGAAAATGGCTCTTTCCTCTTGCAACAAGTGTCAGCAGAGTCCATTCTCAGAAGTTATTAGACGTTTGATTATCATCGGACAATTAGAAGAACGAGTGAGAGATTGTCAGGAGCTTGAATGAAACGTTCAACACGAAAACTCTCTTGAACAGCTTCATTCTCTCTAACCTAGTGATCGAACAAGTAGGGGTGGGAGCTCGGAGCAAAAAATGAGTTTCGAACTCTCGAAATCTCCATTAACTCGAAGAAATAGGATTTAATTGGTTAAATGAGTCTCAAACAGTGAAAAGAGATGACCGCAATCCCATAAGGTTCGTGTCGTATTTTAAGCTAAACGAGTTGAAATATGTATGTTCATGAGGCAAACAGATGAAATACATGAGAAATTCAGAACACTGAAGAGATTGAGGGATGAAGAACACGGACAACTGGCCAAGTATGGAAGAGAAGTGGCCGCCCGGCCTGACGGTCTAGACGAAAACTTGAAGACAGCATGTTTAATCGAGACGCACTAAAGAACGTCGTCAACCCTTCTGTGATGAAGGCGACGATGAGAATCTATCCTTATGCGGCCATAAGCATAAAAACTATAAGCGATTGAGATTTCAGCCTTTTCCAAGCGAAATGATTTTCGTACAGTGGATCTTGAATCACATACAAATGGAATTCGATTTAATTAAAGAAAACTTCGAGTCTTATAATAATATAACGAATGAAAGACCAGCAATTAAAAAAACGCAAACTAATTTCAAAGTCTAATTGAGGTTATCAATGCGCATCAATTACAGAATCCAAGTACTAAGAGGGCAGTATATGGACACCTGTAATTGTTGATGTTCAAATTACTACTAGAACTGTGCTTAACATTGCTAAGACCCACTGAGACATACGCAGAGGACGAACGACTAGGGTTAAAACCAGATGTGCTAAGAAAGCTCCTCGCATTCCGGCATTATAACACGTGTGTGTTCTATGAGAATTAATAAAAACAACTAAGAGAGTTGGAAGTGATGACCATCTGTTCAACTGTTCTCTATTGAAATGGTTCTACTATACCACATACTCACACTTCTAGACAGACTAACTGTATTTGACAATGCAATGTCCATCTACACATTGATATGTGTTACATGAAGAGTGATCGGAAGAACTTTAAAAGGTTATCGAGAAGCGAGAAGTTATAAAAGAAGAAAAAAGCAATAAAAATGTAAAAACAGAAAGGGTTAAGAACAATAAACGCCTAAGTTCGTTGAATTAGAAAAATACAACCGCGTCCTGTACGTGTACAACAAAGAATGAATTGAGTCACGGTTAAATGTCACGTGAAACAATCGATGATTACGTGATATGCAAATTTTCAAATTAAGAAAGTATGAGACAGCTGAAAAGTGTTTATGCGCATCTGCGGCCTTTCTTTCAGTCTCCTGACTCAAGGGAGACCCAAAGTAATCAGGCAACCCTCAGATCTTATTCAACGCCAATCATTGCAATAACATACGGGTTAGAGAGCTAATCTATCTATGCTTCTACCCTATCTTCAACCACTTATCCAGTTTAACTTGGCTATTACTTACTGGCAAATAAGAAATAAGTTTCGTGAACAAGCTAAATTGAATAGTCCATAAGTAAGTAAACGGTGAAACGAACTTCTCTATGAACTAAAAGTATTTCAGAATTACGATGCTTGCTGGAGATGCAATTCGAACGAAATTTCTAATTTACTAAGGTTCATGAGCGTATTCGTTTATAAGGGTTGAGAAATGATGAAGAGAAAATTAAATGGAGCTTGAAGACAACCTCTTCCGTTCCAATCAAAGCAACTCCGGACACAAGAGGAAATGAGAATGTTCATCTAAAGCGGAGATAAGAAAGCTTTAGGTGGGCAACGTTGAACATTCACTCACATCTCTACAGAAGATAGTAAAGCTAGTCGTTTAGAGAGCATCTCATCATGCTCTGGAACAGCAAACGAATCTGCTAATTGCGAGGTATCTTATCAGATTTCGAAAACAGAATAGGATACTTCTAAGTAATTTCAAAAAACAGTTGGGCGGGCGGGTAGAGCATGAAGCATGGAACAGGATAAGCAAACATACGTGAAGAATAGGAAGATCAGACGTGTAACTTAAAGGAGTAGCAGGAACTCACAAGCTTCGATTAAGATCATTCGAAATGGGAGGAGAGAGAACGTGTGAGAGAGAGAAAGTAGGGTTATCAACAGACAACTTCGAGAGAAAACAGTTCACATTATAATAAAGAATACTCACCATAAATTGAGAACGGCCGTTGATTGAACTGTCAGAAATCGGTTGACAGTTGAACGAAATGCTCTGTCAACATGCTCATGACATACGTCGTCGTCACTTTCGCTGCTCATATTAGAGCACTCAAATCAGTCATATCTCTTTCATCTCTGATTGTCTAGAAGCGTAAAATAATGATTACGAGACCTCTATATACATACCCATCCTTGAGTCGAAAAAGCATCTTGATTTTCATCTATTGACATCAAACAACTCGGCCAGCATTCAGAAACTAAGATGGAGATTCTTGTATTCTCCACAAGCCAACATCTTATTTTCAATTTTGGCTTTCGGAGTTGTGTATCGCATCAGAAGTGTAATATGATGGCCCTTCAACTGATGATGATCCTATCCTGAATTCAATTGGTTTGTAATCATCTTCGACTTAAAATATTTCGCTCCTCTTCAACCTAGTAATTCTCTGATCGTCTTCTTTAAACTGCAAAGACAAAATTGACATTGACAGTAGCACGGACGGAGTCCAGGCAATATTCGAGTGCAAGTGCAGAAGAGTCAGAGCAAATACAGAAACAGGGTCATCCCATCCCCTTCGAGTTGGAGACAAAAACATGAAAAATTTATTTTCTAAACCCTCTATCAGTAATGTTCGGAGGTTAAGGGAGGAGGTCAAAGCTTAGCGTTTGAGACCGATCAGCTGGTCTTCTATTATGGATAGGATTTGAAAAACAGAAACAATGAAAGTAGATTAATAGAGAAACAAGAAACAATCCCATAGTTAACAATCATTTGCCCAATCATCATTAATATCATCCGTGTCGATAAACTCATTCTGAACTTTAGCTGAAAGTAAGAGGTTTAATTGATTTGCATCATGAGTAGCAAGATTACTATTAGCAGAAACTTTCTGTCTCGGAGAAATTATACAATTACTGACATCTGCCCCATCTTCTATTTCCACATCTGAGCACAGTATACTGTTGGTTACAATTGCACTGAAGAAAGTATATTGAGAAGCTGTCAAGAGCTTTTTCAAACTTTTTTCCAACTCTGGCTCCTTCCATCAAAAGACTGTTCTGCACTTTAGCTTTTTCATCAAGGAAGCATCGGGCACCAATTGAACTTCTCTTTATGACACTTCCAGCATTGATCTGCAGCAAAAGTGAGCTGGGTTCAGACGTCTAGGCATACCTGAGCATCTTCGTCAACTCTACTTTCTGCACACGAAATACGTGTTGATCTGTATTCGAACTGTTGCCCCACGGACATTTTCGGCGAGACCCGTAACAATGACTTAATAATCTTTAAGGAAGCGATTAGGGGAACAGGAAACTTTCAAGAACATACAGCTTTGTTGATTTCAAAGTAGGAGGCGATGTTGTTAGCATGAGCTGTTACAGTTCCATTCTCGTGTGGAAGAACATAAGCCAAACATTTCACGTTATCTTCGTTCTCTGTAAAGGGATATACTTCATAAGAGTTCAAACAAACATTTCAAACAAGGTTCGGGATGTGAACGCTGAGATACGCATAGAAAAAAATTTTTCGCAAGAAAACAGAAAATCAAAATAAATGTGGACGATCGTGCACAACTTATAAATGATAAATCATTGCACGACCGCTCACTGCATGCTACAGGCGCGAAATGAAAAAAAATATTTTCTACAGACCGCGTAGGGTCATAAATTAGAAAATAAAAAATGATAACTCTGCATGATAGCGCAACGCGTGTTGATATTTGAATAGCTTGAGCGGTTTGAAAAATGTCCCGCACTATTTAGGGATGACAGAGAGCACGTTAGGCGAACCTCGAACTTACTTGAAGAGTTCTGTTGATCAAGCAAGTAAGGAATGAAATCAGCTTTAATGGAGGCAAAACCCCTGCAACAAAACTCATTTGTTTAGAAATCCGCGTTGACTTCTTACTTTTTGGCTGCGAGCATATTCAGTGTTCCATGTCTAATCACGTAAACATGACAATCGTTGAGAGTAGAAGTCAATGTGATGTTAGGGAACCTTCAAATTAACTATGATAGACATCATTAACCCAACATACTTTTTCATCCATGCATATCCATCAACAGCGCAGTCGAAATCTTCTTCCGCACTTAAGAAAACTAGACGGTTTGGATCTATGACTCGAGCAACGAAATCTCTTCCTATAATATACCAAACTGAATAGTTCTACAGAGATATGCAAACCTTTGCTTCTCTTTATTTTAGGTCCAGGTACTGGACCTGTGACACAGTGATCGGATAATAAACAACATAAAGTGGCTTTATGCGCCCGGAACAGATCAATCATGGGCCGAAGAGAAGCATCAGAAACGAAATCTCCCGAGATGATGACGACATCTCTCTACGAATATCATCATTAATTTATGATGCTTCTTATTTTCCTACGTCAATTTTTCCTATATATTCTCTGAGAACATCAGCAGTTCCCCAATCATGGTCTTTGTCAATGAAGAAAGGCTTTATGACAACACCTTCGAACTCAAAGAGAGAAGTGCTCATTAAATTCCTAACTTCAGCTTCTATGGAATCACGGAAGAATATACGAATGTCTGTAATGAGTGACGTTGAAGCATATATAGCCAAGAAAGGAAAACCTTTGACTCCAGCACGCGCTAAAGTGTTTATGGAATACCAGAAAATGGGTACCCCAGCTACGGGTAAGAGACTTTTAGGAATGTTTTCACAAAGCTCACGCATCCGGTTTCCTATACCGCCGCTCATGATAACTCCAATTAACTCCGACATTCTCTGAATGGTTAGGATACAGTTATACTTCATAAGAGTTACAGCATTCATGGATATCCTCAGTTAAAGATAGAAAAAGTCAAGAAAAATAATTTATTCGTTGAACTCACGCCTGCAAACATAACACCTAAGTAAAAACGATAAAACAATCGAAAGGTTTAAAGAAGTTATTAGATTAAGAAAGGAACAATAGCAGTTCTGCCCTTAGGGTAATCACTGAAGTCTTTCTTGTAAGCACGATGTTTCTGCTTAGCCCAGATAGCCATCTGAACGAATCCGGCGGTGGTGAAGAGAAGAGCTGACATGGTAAAGTTAAATTAACAGTGTGTTGATAACTGTTTACCTGGGACACTTTGGGTCATGAAGGTGAATGAAAGCCAAGCGGCAACCTCATAAGTGTAGTTGGGGCAGGAAACGTATTTGAAGAGACGGCTATAAAGCTCTAATTGATGAGAAAGAGAAATGAAAGAAATACCTCATTGGGTTTCCGTCAGGTTTTGGAATTTTACGTTCGCGAGTTCCAGCTGGTCTAAGGTTACGGAGAAGGATGTGGATAGAGAGATTTCCGAATTCAGCAATCAAGAAACCAACAAGTCCAAGGTAAATTTGAGTTTTTCCGAAAATTGGTGGGCTGTAGAAAGGATGGTTGACGAAGTAGGAGACGAAAGCACAGAATCCCCAGTAGTAAGAGCAGTTCTTCAAAGCCAATTTCAGAATAGGAATGAATTAGATAATCACCTTGAAGAGGTTGAATCTTGGCATAGTTCCATTGGAGAATCGGTGAATGAATTGAGTTTCGAATAATCTCTTGGCGTAGTGAATGCTCCAGCAAATGCAGGCATAGGTGACAACATCAGCAATGGGGGCTTTGGAGGCTTCTATATCATATCGATAACATACATCAAGTCTTTTAACTCTTACCAGATCCATAGATGAAAGAGGGACGGAAGTAGAAGATGGGATAGATGAAGAAGGGTCCAGCATACTCGGTAAGGAAGACTGTTTTCCAAGCGACTTGTGGTCCTAAGTCACGGAGGAAGAGTTGCCCATTTTGTTGAGAAAGTCCGAGTTCAGAGAGCTAGACAACCTTGTCAAACCGAAGAAAAACAGTAAACAAACCTTCTTATCATCAGCAACAGCCTTTCCCTTAGCATCAGTTCTCAAGGCTTGTCTCTCGACAGTAAGACGAGGCTCTTCAATTATAGGAATGAGATGAACGAGGAGGTTTGTGTGGAGAACTCACTTTCTTTCTGAATGCTCTTCTTAACAGTAAGAATGGTGTCATTGATGTCCAAATTGGTCAAAGTAGCGATAAGCTTCTTAGTATTTTTGGCATCGAAAACCTCCAACTTAAAGGAACCCATTTTTCTGAAAGAGTCGAGAACTTAGAAATGTCTGAATGGATCACGAAGGGTATTGGGAACAATGGCCAATACTTATTAAGGGTTTCTGAGACAGAGAATGATAGTGGCATGATAGCATGTAATGGTGTGATAACAGAGAGTCACAGATATATAACAAACCTTTGGAAACAAAAATTGACACAAAAAATAGGTAAAACTCTCTGATAAAACAGAGTGGGAGATAAGAAACCTGAGAATCTTCAACTATTTTAATTGTTTGTAACAAAAAACTAAAGCGAGATATAAAAACACGTTCAAAAAATTTAGGACACACGTAGCTTCAAAGGCACCAGGCTCACAAAATATACAAAATCATATTTACATAGGGTCTTCACCATTTTTCGAATCTATAGAATTGAGAATAGAGCAGCCCTACTGCTGAGACTGCATCATCGATACCAACTGTTTTGGATGGGAATTTACAGACAAGGACTGGAGTGAAAACGAAAAGAACGTCGTCACGAATCCATGAGGCAACTGGGCTGAAAAAACTCATCTTGAATCATCACATTGCCAGCGGAGAGTACCTGTGAGGTTGGAAGTGATACATCTTTCCGATTTGTTTGTCAAGTGGGAAGGCTTGGGGAGTTCGAACTTCTAGTAAGTCGGAATCCAAAGCATTCTATATCAATTGTATTTTCGACTGAAGAGTTACTGCAACTACCTCAGAATTCAAATTGCACGACAACCGTCCGACTAATCTCGCACCCGCTGATAAGCCTGCAGCCAAGTTTGACCAATCTGTTCCTATGCTTACCTTAAAAACAAAAATGAAAAATATAATCATATCTGTCACACCATAATATGATAAGTCAAGCAATGGAAATGAATTCTCTGCAGGCGGTAGCCCTCACTAATAGATTTGGGATTGGTTTTTACGCGACCAAAGGTGTGTAATAGCCAATGTAACATTTCAACGACCTTAATGAATAATGATGAAAACGAAATGTTCCGAATGCTCCCACCTTGTGAGCATGAACAGATCCTGCTTGAACTGGATAAGCATCCATGTGGGGACCACCAGCGACGTGAGATAAAAACGCGAGTTCCTGCTCATTAATGCCAAGAGAGTCCACATAGGGAATAACCTATTCGCGCTTGGATGATAAGACTAAGGTCAACAACAAAACCTTGAACAGAACGTCGGACAAAAAGGCAGCGTCTCCCAAACTTCCTAACTCCAGGTGAATTGGAATCTGAAGAATTGGAATTACTTATTTTCGATCCGAAACTCACTTTGAAATTTATTTGTTTTAAGTTTCTTCTAATGATCGTCATTTTCTCAGCCCTGCTATCCTTCTCCTACAACAGTCAAGTTAGAAAACTTCTTGAACTGGAGCTTAACTTGGAATTCCAATAAGTGAACTCCAGTTATGATAACTAAATCAGGTTTGAACTGAGAAATAGCGGAGAAGAACATATCAATCACTACAGAACTGCCACTGTAAACTATGAACTTCAGTTCATATTCCGAGAGTGAACTATACCTGAATTGATCTCTACTTGTGATAAATCGACTGCTACTGGGAGCTACCCAGTCTCCTAAGATTTCACCCTGTCTATATTCCATAATGATATGTAACTCATCCTGGAACCGTAAGTAACTGTCACTGCCGAAACATGGCTAGATCCAAACCTTCACAATTTTGGTTGAATTCGTTCTTTGAACGGAAGGATGCAGTAAAGCATGACTGCGAGGTCCGATAGGGCCGACAAGAATTACCTGAAGTAGATACTAACAAGCGTAACTGTGATAATTTTCTACTTCAGTGCTTGGGAAAGTAATAGCGATTCGTTCTGCCATGAGCGCAGCGTTACCTCCTATGTGAAACTGGGCTCTTCTATTATGCTCAGCCATTCGCACAAGAGAATTGAAAGACTCTTCAGATGATAAATACCTGGAGAACTCATTGATAAGAGGAATCAGAGAGTTCAAACAACCTTTCGGCGGCAGCGCCTCTTTGGAAGAAATAAGCAAAGGTTTCATGCAAATCGTTGAGACTGGACAAGGATTCATGATCACTCGGCTCATTACACGTTGTATTCAGAGACTCGATCAAGTTCGTTCCCATCACAATGAGATCCACATTGGCATTAAATCTGTGAGGGAAAAAGCAAAATAAAAAGGAAATTTCATCATTCTCACCCCACAACAGCCTTCGAAAACGAAGAACTTGGCTTTGTTATAGTTTTATCCCAAGCATTGAACATAGCTTGCTCAACCGAGAAAGTAGATCTTCTCTGTTCATCATTGAATTGGCTGAAACAGAGATTGCATGGGACTCAACTTAGGGCTAGTACCTGTACAAGTAAGGAACAATGAAACATATGAAAGATAAATGTAATAGTCGATTACTAGGAGATAAAAGCCTTTGAAGGAAATTATCCACAAATAACATAGTTTGTCAGTTATCAGTACTAATCAATGGGACAATTGACCGGTAGATGGACACATTATCAGGTAGAGTGAAACCGGTTTTTACAAAACATAGCAAGATTTTTACAATTTCGGATTACGGTAAGTGGAAAGTCGTAGTGGGGCACTAACGCCTTCCTTTTTGGATGAAGGCCGATTTATTCCGGTTTTTATGATTTTTATTTGTTTTTTTTTGAAATTTTTTTTGGTTTCATAATTTCATTTGATTAAAGCATAATGTCTGCACGAGATGCAATGGCAGCTATGCTCGATGAGCTTATGGGTCCAAAAAGAAATGTCGACCTCGGTAAAGATACCACAGTGAAATATGATGTAAGTATGAAATTTTCGTTCTTCCTTGATATTTTCACGTTCAGGATCCTGATGTATGTAAATATTATATTGTTGGCTTCTGCCCACATGATATGTTTGTAAACACCAAGGCAGATTTGGGTGAGATTGACTCGTTTGGCTCTTCGAATTGATTTTTTTCAGGCCCTTGCCCGAAATTGCATGATGATAACCTTAGAATATCATATCCAGGAAGCAAAGAATTTGAAAAATTAGGTTTTGAAAGAGATTTCCTCCGTTTTCTCAATAGGCTGGAGGAAGAAAATCAGAGACGGATTAAAAAAAATAAAGATAAATTAAGGTCGAACGACGAGTACGGTCAAGTAAGGGTCTTACCACCACATTCGTGCTATGAATGAAGTTTTGTAGAAAAAAGACGAAGAGCGAAAGCAAAAGCTTGATCAGGATTTGGCGCAAATTGATGCCGATATAAAGACAGCCATGGATGAAGCAGAAGAGGTTCCGACTCTCCTTTGAGTATGTCTATTCCAAAGTTTTTCAGGCAGGAAATAAAGGAGAAGTTGGATTATCTCATGAATTGGTCGGGAAAGTAGAAGCCTTAGAGCGTTCCAAAGCAGCTTTCATCGAGGTATTGTATATCAGGAGAAGTGTTGATTGACTAACTCTCCTTGTTTAGCGAATGGCTCTCGAACACCCTGAGATAGATGATGGTGTCAGACCGAAGGATGTGAGTTCTTTCAATTACAAGAATAATCTATAACCAAGCATGTATAGGTTTGCGAAGTGTGTGGATCCATCCTCATTCGTAATGATGCCCCGAATCGCGTGGAGGAACACCTTTCCGGTAAAATGCATGTTGGATTTGCTAAAATACAAGCGACGATAAAGGAATGTGAGGTAAGTAATCCGCGACTGCTTTGCTTATTTTTGAACTACTCTTGACGTTTCGCTAATGAGTACTTGCGCGTTCTCTACAATTCTTAACGTATTGGGTTAGTAGAAACATTACAGTGTTGCAAAATCTGTTTCCTAATTACTTGATTGGTCGCTATATATCTTCAAGATGATAAGCAGGTACCCTGTGAATTTGACTGTGAAAGCGATTTTCCTTGACTCCTCGATTTTGCTACAAATAATTCATTCTCATGTTGTTTTTCCAGGTTCGCATGAAGAAGAAGCAGGAAGAGATTGAGAAGGAGCGTAAAGCTAGGAAGAGGAGGTTTGTTACCATCTGTATCATTTTCATATACTCACATGTATGTTTCTAGTGTAGAGAAAGAGCGCAAAAGATCGCGTTCCCGTGATCGTAGGGATAGAGACAGAGATGCCAAAAGGTGAGATTCACATTTGAATATTCTGAAGATAGCGTTAACTTTGCAGGAACCGTTCAAGATCCAGGGAAAATAGACCCCGATATGGAAGAGAACGTGATGGTGGACGAGGAGGAGGAGGTGATCGTGAACGAGGTGGTGATCGTGAAAGAGACCGTGACCGGGATCGTGAACGTGGTGACCGCGATCGTGGTGGTGACCGTGATCGTGATCGCAGACACCGTCGATAGATCTCAATGTATTTACAATTACAAATGTATTTAGTGTATTGGCTTAGGCTTCAATAACTCGTTACTGTAACAATTCTCGTTAAGAGCATTGTTGTCTGGTTATTAAAAAAATTCCGTATTAATAAATTAACAATTTTGTAATAACAATAGATGTGAGCTGATGTTATTTTCATAATTCCCTCCGTCTTCTCCTTTTGGTCTTCTCCACTCTTCTTACGACTAACTATGACGTCCTATTATGTCTCTGTAATAGTCTGTAATCATAATGGGTAAATGAATGAATTATGTTCAAGAATAGAACTTTGTGAATTGTACGAACGAATTCCGGAAGAAGCAGAAGCTTCCAAGCACTTGCGTGCTTCTTCAAGAAAATGCATTTCTAACTTTAATGGTGGTCGGTCAGCTTTACTGGGGCGTGGCTTAACTAGTGACAGACCGTTTTGGCGGCAAAATCAGTCATTATTGTTGTTTATAGAAATGGAATCACTGGTCCCATTACCAACTTTAACATTTATGTTTGAGTTATATAGGCGGCGATAGATTTCTGCTATGGCCCCAAACGCGAGAAAAATAAATAAGCTCCCAGTTTTCCACTTTTTTTTATTAAATCTGAGCGACAGATACGAAAGCAACTTCGGATGATTTCGTCTGCTACGCTTTAAGGTTGTATTGGTGTATTGTTTACTAATGTTCAGCCTGAAATCGAAACTCAAAACAATACCGCTTTGATAGATATATCTTTAAGACGAGAAATTTGATTCAAACTTTCTATTTTCGGCTGTTTATTTGAATGTCTTATCTAGCCGTCTAGCCTCTTCATGCTCTTCTCTTCTACTACTACTTTCAAAATGCGCGCTCACGTGAAATTCCACGTGAGTTACCTAAACATTTTGTTTTATGTTCACGCCGAGAGCGGTTGTTTTGACACTTTGTGTGTGCCTGGGTGTTCTGAATGTCTCAGAAAATAAATTATACACCTTCCGTATAATTTTCCCTTTTCGGTCACCAATATAGCACTACAATAACAAAGATCATAATATGTAGTATCCTACTTATCGCTGAGTTGAGATAAATCAAGGCTGGGAGTGTATTTGAGTTTGTTTTCATCTTTTCGTTTCACACATCTTTTTTTTGAACTTCTGTAACAACTTCCATATATGTACATACATGCTGTTCTTTCATATCCAGCATTGGGAGCATTCATTAAGTTCTCGGCCAGTGCAGCTCTTTTGTTGTTGTGTACTTACGATGACTTCAGCTGGGCATGCTGTTTGAAAAGAAAAATGTTTGGATTCATAAAAGGCGCCTGTGCAATGAATTCATCTGACGGCTTATACTTCTGACGTCCTTAAACTTTCGCGTAGTCAACTTAAATCCTTTAAGCATACTTCTAGCAATCAGTTTAAAAGTGCGACCTTCTCCTCTTTTTATTCAAATTTAAAGCATTCCATTATCAGCTGTTTATGCACGCATTATCGAGTTGGCACCTTGGAATGTTTCTCAGCCAGATATGTTTGAACTTATTCTGTTACTCAACTCTTCATAAGTCCTTTCATAGAGTCTAAGACATCCCTAACATGTTCCAAGATTGCCCTTTTGAAGATGTTTCATGCACTGGTCATCATTGTGTGTGTGTATGTGTGAATGTGTGTGACCACGATAGATGTCAGAATTCCAAAGAGAGCTTCGAAAGCTTTCCCTTCTCGGAAACGTATTTGAGATAAATGTTTGTAATTGTTCTTCCTGCACACTCATATCTTATTTTATGCGCTCTCTTTCTCACCAACATTCTAATATTCATCTAAGTTTCTTTCTCTTCATCCATCTACGTCTTTTTGTTTTTTTTTATCTCTTTTTTCTCTCTCTCCTTCTGCCCATTTGGAACATTCTTCAGAAACCTCTCAAGCTCTCTTTTTGTCCAGCTGTCTGGTTTTGGTGTTTTTGTTGTTTTTCTTGCGTTTTCTCGCTATCTCTGTTAGAGCTTCCAACATCTTTCTTACCAGCTTCTTGCCTTTCATTGATGTTTTGTTAAGTTGCAAATACACGCAGACTTATCTTCAAATACATCATTTTGGATTGAAAATAAGCAAATCTTCTTAATTCAAGCTTCTCTGTATCATTCTCCTAACCATTTTCATCTTCATAACATCTTTGATAGTTATTGAGAAGCATATGTTCAAATGCTATTTATATACATTGGGCTGCAAAGCCATGCAACTCCTCGGCTCTCAGAAATAGTTTGAGGCTATATCGGTTGAGTCTTCTTCATTCAATGAGCAAAACGAGAATCATTAGTCTCTACAATTGCAATCGCAAGATTCCGAAATTTTCTTCTCTTTGCACTTTCGAAAATCTTGTAAGGTCCTCTTTATTCCGTTACAAATCATCATTACGACAAATCAGTTTAGAGATCAGCCCTTGATACTTGCGTGAGAAGCCGTATTTGTCATGAAAGCCATCTATCAATTTGTTGTTTCGGCTTTGCTTCTTGTTTATATAGTTTCCAGTTTTTCCTCAGTTTTATGTTTGAGCAAGTTTTTGATTCAACTGTTAAGCTCATCAGCTTCTGTCTTCTCACTTCATTTCGTCGTGTGTTTACGTACATTCGCTTGAAGCTGTGCAAAGAAGTAGAAGACGATGCCCAAGCCCACCCACCCAGTAGAATCTTCATCCACATATCTCTCATCCATTTAAAGCTAGTACAACTTGCTCCATCGGTTTTTCTGAAAACATTTAAATTGCAATCATTTCATCATCTGGGGATAATCGGATAAAAATAATGATGATGATGATGATGATGATGAAGGAAGGGCATTGGAGATCACAGACATTCTTTAAATGGATCATTCTTGATGTTTAAGCTACTCTAACTGTCGTCAACTCTTCGAATGACTCGTCATCATCATCCATCCTATAATCTACCACAATCCGTTCAAAAACGGACTTTTCGTATTTCCTGTGACTCGATCAAGCACGAATGAACATGAACCAGTCTATTGTTCTGGCATTCCCTCATCCATTTTCTGCCACTATTCAATCTTGTCCTGAAAATAAACTTTTCGGAACTTGTTTGTTCTGTTACTTTTCCTCATAATAAGTCATGAAACTTTTAAATGTCTTCATATTCAGTTCTATTTGTACTTTCAACATACGAAATTTCCTATTTGACAGCTCATAAATTAAAAGAATTAGAAATGCTCTTTCTCTCTCTCTATGTGCCTTCTTCCTCATAGCTTCCTTAGTACATGATAGTCTCAAGCGATAGAAGCTGAAAGAAGATTTGTCAATGTCCAATTTTGAAATCTATCCGTAATCTGACAGTTTACTCATTTCACCGATTAATATTCCCCTCTCTTTGTTTTCCAATCAAACGCTTGTCTGCCGTCGTTGACATTTTTTTGAGAGAGGGGGAAGCCAGACGTTATCTAGGGATTTACATCATCCATTTGTTACTTTCAGGATATGTATTCATAATTGCCAATTAGATTCAAACCACTCTCTCTTTCTCTCTCACTCCTTCATAGCCACCAAATATTTTTTTCCGCGTGGAAACATGAAGACGTGATGCTCTTCCATTCAGTGAGAACAGAGACAAGACAAGATATGCCTTGTATATCAAATTCACTTTTTATTCTCAGCTTTTACTTCTTCAGCTTCTCTCTTCTCTCAACCACTTTCTTTGACTCATATTATTTCGTTAGAAGAAACTTAGTTATTTCCTTCCTCCCCTCTCCTCCGATCCAGTAAAGCTCTGCTACATCTCAGTATGGAAAGAACACCACCATCCTTTGCCAGTTCTGTCATCAATTGTCAGATATTTTCGTCAAATTTCCCACTTGTTTCTTCCATCTGACAATCAGAAAGCTCTCGCAAACTCCTATGACAAAAATTTTTTTTGATTAGTCGTTGAGAACAAGAACTAAGCTCTCCCTCTCAACTCTGCCAAACAAAGGGTAACGAAAGTGACTGGTCATTTCATGAATTATATACATTATGTGTCTTATTTCTGATTCATGTCTTGTCTCTTGAATCGAAAAGTTTAATATTTCGTTTTTTGTGCCTTTCCATCTCGTAGCGATCTTGATCGACACAATAGCTCCTTTTTTGGTAATTCGACACTACGCCTTCACTTCCTGTAGTGTATGTTATATCAATTTTGGTTGTTTTCCATTCTTTAGTCCCATAATGTCTTTACCATACAACAATATTCTTTTTTTTCTTCATTTTTGTTCGAAAAACATCTTTCGACTCCAATTTCAGACAGTACACGTCTCTTCTGTCTGTGAAAGTATGAACATGAAGGAGAACGAACGTCTAGACACATTATTAAATAGAACATCACACAATATAATAGTAAGGAGATTCATCAATTTTTTATGAACATCATCGACTTCATTTCCAGACGACATCGTCGTCGTACAAAGTTAGATCGGACAACAATCAGACATCGCATAGACACAAAAGGATTATTATAGAGTGAGCATGAGCATTCATCAATTCATTTTCGTTCTCTTTTTCTTGCTCGTTCAGTGATATAGCCAATGGAACAGAACGATTTTGTGTTCCTGTAGTTAATGAGATAGATGATACTCAGCCACCCGAATTCGTGTACACAACTCGAGTTGTTGATAATCACGGAATCCTCAAATCTGCTACAGCTGCCTATCCTCTAGTATCGTAATAGAGCTCAGTCTCAATTCTATCTGAGCATTGTTTAGGCATGTTTCTGTAAGGATCAATGTGACTTAGATTGTGCATGCAATTCTGAAGTCTATAACTCACACGGTATGCCTTTTTTAGAATAAACAAAATTAATTTTTCATTAATTTCCTTAAGAATAGAGGGCTCTTATATAAATAAAAGAATTTTTAATGAACTAGAAATGCCTTTGATGAAATTCAACCGGTCAACGTCCATGTGATGTTAGAAATGAATATCTTGGTGTTCACGTAAGACGTGAAACGACTGTTCATAGAATATGCTAAATACATTACACTGCTTGTACAATACATTTAAATACGAAATATGTTTGTAGGCTGGGCCAGAGAGGATATGCTAGATGGTCCATTCTTAGAGTGTGGCTCGGATTGTCATTGTAGCATGCAATGCGGAAACCGCGTAGCACAGAAAGGCTCAAAGTACAGAGTTGAAGTATGCAATGCTTTGTTCTTTATTATAACTCTTACGATTGTTTTTGTTTTATAGATTTTTCGGACTAATGATAGCAGAGGATGGGGCGTAAGAGCTTTAAGTAAAATACCAGCTGGAGCATTTCTCGGAGAATACACAGGCGAGCTTCTGCATGATGCTGAAGCGAATCGGCGGATAGATTCTTATTTGTTCGAAACGACAGTGGTAATTATGGAATTTAATAACAATAACATGTTTTTCAATTGAGGGAGAAAATACATATACTGTTGATGCTCGTCTCTTCGGGAATTTCACTAGGTTTATCAATCATAGCTGCGAACCGAACTCGAAGGTTTTTTATCCAAATACTCAATGTGTACTAATCTCCGATCGGTAATAGGTGTGTATGGTCGTTTGGGATTGGCATAATGATCAATTGAATCATATTTGTGTATTCGCTTCTCGCACGATCGCACGAGGTGAAGAAATAACTATATCGTATGGCGATCATTGGTGGAGAACAAAGGTAACTCATTTCTTAACGTTCAACCACACTGTTGTCTTCTACAGATATACGAACATTCATGCTTATGTAAAGAAAAACTATGTCGCTTCAATGAATCCGTTCGAGCCACGATATTACGTTCGAATGGAGGAGAGAACTCCGTTGGTGATACTGCTAGTGAAGACAATTATTCAGAGGATAGTGGACAATCGTAACGTTCATCAGACTCAGGATTAGAGAGCATTCATAACTCACGGGTACAGAGTTATAAACGTAAATGAACTATCAGGAAATACGGACGGATTTCATCATCACACACACACTGTGTGATGTTTACAACAAGCTTGTTCTAAATATTATATCAAGGACTGAGAACAACAAAACTCCTATTTATAAGTTCCGTTTCCGTCGTTTCCCATGTATGTCAGACATATTTAATGCAGAGCTTAAAACTTTTCTTCAAATTGTTTTCTTTGATGTTCATAATGAATGTTTTCATATTCTCTGTTCTTCGCACTCCTCTGTAATTTGTTGATATTCTAATTAAGTTGTCGTTTCCACGTAAGCGTCACGTCAATTGTTAGCGTGTTTCGGTAACTTTCATTTTCGACGAGAGGTGTACTGAGAACGGTTGCTTTCTATTTACTTCATAGTTTTCTTAGATCTTATGTTTCAGCTTTTGGTTTGCTCTCTTTGTCCTAGCCATCCAGCTTGTGGATGGTGAAGTGGGCGGAGAGTCTCCTGAATTAGCCAACGTCTCATGCCTGGAACTACGTCGCAAGATAGATCCCTTATTTTCTTTTTTCTTTCTTTGACTCTTCTCCAGCTTTCCTGTTCATGTCCTAAACTCATTTGAACATTCCTTGTCCGTGGAACAAAAAACTGTTCTAATAAGGGAATAAGTTCTTTCTTTGTTCAATCTCAGAAACTTTTCGTACATCCTAATGTCTTTAGCTTGTTTGGAGTTTCAAATCTGAAATCGAACGTAAGAAACTGCTAGCTTGTTCTCTCTGTGTTGTGTATGCTTGTATAACTTTAATATTTATAGGAGAAAAGATTACGTGAGGTCTATATACCCTTATGTGAAGCCGAAACTTCAAGAAGCATGTATTGCAGCCTAGTGAAAACAGCCTCAGTGATATTGTGTCTGTTCCAGTTATTCTCGTATGGTAAGTTGAGAGCAAGAGGTCCGATAGTCGAGGTGCTTATAGTAGTTTTCTCTTCTCAATTAATCATCATCAACTTGGAAACGTTCTTTTATCCATTTCCGACTTTTAAAATTCTAAATGAGTTCACTTCCCTCTAATTGTTCCTTTATGGCCGAGATAGCGTCTTCAGAATAGGGCTTTCAGCTGACAATTCTCATGCATAACTTACTGATTCATTATATTTGGATTGAGAAACACATGAGATTTTTCAAACGATGAAAAGACATTGATTTCAAAAAGACATTAAAAATTCATTAACTTCTTTACAGGAACATGTGCTTTGCCAGGAGGTGATTGTGTGGAGCCGTGTATTAATGATATGCAAAGGGTTAGTTTTTTCTATTCAGGAAGAAGAAGTTGGACAAGGTCTTCATATTCTATTCCTAATCATCAGAAGAATTGAGTTGAACTTATTGGAGCTTCTTTCTTTCCTTGCTCATTCAATCGTAAGATGTGCAGAAGGCATGGGAATAGAAGTTGACAGCCTTGAACATAACTTCTTTCTTTTTTTAATTTTTTTTTCTAAAATATTTTTGTGTTATGAAAATCTGTTTCAGTCGCTTGAGGAGACTCCGATGCTCAAGCATGAACATCTGGGACAGCTCTCTTTTACCCAGCTCATCGGAGCCTCGCAGGATAAGCATGTGACTGAAAGAAGTTTTACAGCTATTTGCGAGTGAGTTCACTCCTTATGACTGTGCATAATCTTTTCAAACGATAGAGCTTATATAAATGTGGATCGTTGCTTGGAGCAGTGTGAAAAGACGTCCGAGAATTCAGGCAGAATACGACAGACTTATGCTGGCATCAGATTTATTTGCGTGGAGCATCGGAAAGGTTAGAAAAATCTTCCTGAAAAACAGTATTGTTTTCATATTTTCTTGAAAAGCGTTTCCTTTACTGGAATTCAAGATCGCTTGATCCGAATGCTCAAACGATCATTGAAGTGCATTGCCTCCTCTTAATGGGTGGCTTGTAATCTGACTCCCCTCCATTGTTGCCTTCTGTTTGATGCTAAACCTATAAAACATCTATCGAATGAGATGATTCATAGAGGCTATGTCAGTAAGCTGAACCATCGTCCAATAGTTTTGGCAATTGACATGCTCAGCGCCTGTCTGACCCAATCAGCTGACATAGGATTAGAAATCTCAATTCACTATCGTTGATTTGCCTACTTGTCAATTCCATTTTGTTCTAAATCATTTAAGTAGGTGGCAGATGTGCTGTATGATTCTGTGTAGTTAAGGTGGCTGTGTCTGAAGACAAATTTGTGAGTTGTTTCGAAAATCTGAGGATAAGTGGACAGCTCCAAGCACTTCTACTTTTCCTTTTTACGGCTTTTGCTCAAGACACGTAATTCCTTTGCTTCTTGTTCGAACATGTATGGATTGCTAGTAGTAGCACTTCTTCAAATGTCCTTTTTCTTACAATCCAGGCTATGGGGTTGGGTGTTCTGGGAGATTTTTTTCAAAATTTGAATAATTTTCAAAAGGCCCGGCTATCTGACTATATGTGTATATGAGTGGCAATCATCATAAAGCTGCATGTTGCATTTGTGCTTCATAAATCTTAGGAAAACGGGATTATTTTGGACAGAAGATTGAACAATACTTTTAATCACTTTTTCATCTGTTTCAAGCATGGTAGAGCGACACTGTCCCTGTGGAGTCATAAAGGGACATGCAGCAGTCCTTGATAGATATAGATGAGCTCTGTCACCTCAAGAGATAAATCTGTGCTTAGTACACATTCCCGAAAACTCCCATTCAAATCCATAGTTGACTTATTCGAAAGGAAGTAGCATTGAGTAGTTTTTCGATATTTACCAAGCCCCAACCTCTTCAAAGAAAACACAACAATTAGTGTGTTCGCAAATTAGTTGGATGTTTGTTAGCGGGCAAGAAGGAACCTAGTTGAAATCCTGTCAGTGATTCTTCAATTAAGATTTTTCGTAATTAACTGAAAATGACGTCGCTTCAAGATTTTTTTTCCAAAAAACCAAATGATATATGCCTTCTTACAAAATCTTTATTTTCCAGAGTTCTTCGATTCTCTTCCTTGCCTAGCTCAGTGAGTTTTTATATTCGAATTCCTATTTTGAACATGAATTATTTATTCATTTATTTCAAGGCATGAAGCGACTGCCATGGAGCAATGTCGGAACCAGATCAACGAGTCACTCGTGGCAAGTAATCGTTTCTCGATGACCGTTATGAGAAAAGAACATCATAATCTACGAAACCACTTTGAGACTCTCTGCAGGTTTGCTGTGCTAGAGAAATTTGAATACTCTTCTGTTCAAGGAAATTGGGAGATATGATTGAGTGTGTTGAACCTATAACACGACGTGGATGTGGAGAGCAAGCAGCTCTCATGATGCTGAGATTCATAACGGTTGGCTTTAGTAGGTATGTTTTCAGAAAACCAGCATGTCTTCTCTAACCTTGACTTTTCAAGTTTTGAACAGCTTTACTCGCAGCTAGGAATAAGCGACCAGCTGCCTTCTTCTTGCCGCTCGTTACTATCGCTCAAATCACGTAGAATCGCTACAGATCGTAGAGTGAATCATGTCCAACGCTTCTCAGAGTACTCTGTGAGCTCATCTCATAAAATATCCATGATCATATTAGGATGTCTAATGCTCATCGTTACCTCTAATTGAGATTTGTTTTTACAGATTATCACTTCTCTATTATATATGCTCAACTTTCTCACTTGTGAGCAGTTTTTGACTTTTGAAATGCGCGTGGCTTTCTTTGCCACGTGAACCTTGTTCTCACGTACTTCTATTCTTTCATCAATTCACACAAGACCGGTTGCATTCTCACTGATTTCTGTTTTCAGTTTGAGACCTCGATTGTCCGAACATTTATTTGACTCATTATATTTCTAAACGTAACAACAACAACTATATACAACAACCTGTACTTGAATAAGTTTCTAACATGGATAATGCTCATAACGCGCATAGGCCTTCTTACTAGTCTGTAATAGCATGCTTCCCAATTGTCGTCCAGGTCCAACTTCGATATATCGTGGAAACCGATAATCCTTAATAAATATTTTGAGATTACAAAGTTATATTTGCATCTCACTTGATGTTTTCTGTAAAGTAGTTGTTGAATCTGTTCCCATTTGACAGGATGAGTTACTTGTTTAACGACGGCAGCCTTCAACTCGCTCTGAAAAAGAACGATTAACTACAATCCAAGATTAGCTTCTTCACCTTCTTAGCTGCATGTATCGCTCCAGTATAATTGGAATAAACATTACAGAAGGCTTTGTTGAACTCGGCGCTTTTCAAGCTTTCTCGGAGTCTTAAGAACAAAGATTATAAGGAATGAGAATGTTTTTCACTTTTGAATGGCTCCTTCCATTTGACGGGTGTGGAATGCGCCACTTACCGCTAGACGTTTCAATACCTGGAAACCATGGTTCGAGAAAATATATCAAATAACTAACCTTAATATCATATTCATCTTGGTGCTCCTCAATGAAATTCATACAAGTCTCTGAAGCTCCCAAAACACGGACTCCACAGAACAAATAGTTTGCTACTTCACACACTTCGAATTCTCCTCTCTCTCTGCGATTCCAGAGCAATAAACGTATTTCAAATTCATAATGAACCTACTGTGCAACTAGTCTAGCGTCTCGAAGCAAATCATCCAAACGAGATGAAGCTTTGACTCTGATTGTTAACATTCCACTTTTGATAATCTGATTGCATTCGTGCATAGCCTCACAACGTACTTTCACAATTCGCAAAGCTAGAACTTCAGTCAGAACAAAACATACAAGAGGGTTACCATCTTCAAAAGTCAAAATTCCACCAGCCACAAGAGCACCGAACTCTCCAACACTAAACCCTGCAACGTCTGTGAGATTCTCCTGGACTGTTTCATCTGAAGAGCAGCAGATAGGTTATAGAATAGTTAATAAAGAACCTTCTGCTTTCAGCTTTTCGAAAGCTGCGATAGATGACACGAATACGGCAGGTTGACAGTAGATCGTCTGATCCAATCTGTAATGGAAGTCAAAAGTAAAAGAAAGAGTTGTCAAGAGGATTACTTGGTTTTCGGTCCTTCCAAGCACATTTTGAGTAAATCGTAACCCAATACCTCATTAGCTATTTCAAAAACTCTTTTTGAAGGTTCACAGCTCAATAGCTGAAAAACTATTTGTAAGGTTAAATGACTTGAGAACTTCTTAAGCAAACCTTAGAGCCCATTCCAACGAATTGAGCTCCTTGTCCAGGAAAAAGGAGCACAACCTGATCTTCAATAGGTATGTGATCAAAGACAATCACTCCTGTAGACTTCTTCTTGTTGCCATATTTAGCTTTGCGTTTTTCTGCGAGAAGTTCTTTGGAGGTTTTTTCAATATAATCTTTCAAATGCTGCAAATACAATTTGATTGCTTGAATGAGAGAGTAAGACTTACCTCTTCTGGGTAGGGTAGTTTTCTGGTTGGATCAAGAACCACCGAATGCACATCGGAGAATGTGGTCCCTTCCTCAAGAATCCCTCCTGAAGACGTTATAGGAGGTGCTCGCTTCCGAACATAGCGTTGCGAAATAGAAATTAGGGGTCTTATAGACTTCATCAAGACGATAAGTCCAAACGTTCGACAATTATAATAATAAAATAAAAAATACGTGACGATGTGAGTGTTGGATATACACTCTGTGTATTCAAAAATGCAACAGGACTGTGTGTTTGGCCGACCGATCCTAATAGAAAGCAAAAATGAAATAATTGGAATAAAATGATTTACGTGGGTCACGTGAAATACAGGATGCATTTCAAAACTGTAGTTTCGGAGAATGCGGTTAGCCACAATTGCTCTTCTGATAATTCAATTCGTTGAGGTAAATTCAATGAATACTTGCGAAGTTTGAATGCTTTTTAAGATTTCTCCGAAAGTGTGCTTGGAGAAAGATTTGACGAATGTGACCAAATCGTTCAACAACATCCGGGTGATAACAGACATATACGATTTGGACTATGTAGAACGTTTGAAATGCTACTTTCGATCAGTCGTTTCGGAAACGGGGGTAGTGAGCTTCATCTACGCTACGAACATTTGTGAAGAACTTTTCGCGGTAACAAACTTATTCGTTGTTTGAGTAATATCATATTAAGGGAGGATATAGCACTATTCATGGACTTGACATAGTTATCTCTGCTAACGGAGAGATTCCTTCATTCTGTCCAGCAGTAGTTATTCACCCACTACCCAATGTTGTACAGGCTCGTGGTGCCTTTTTTTTTCTCATCTTTTAGTGTATATCCAGATGAAAATTCATGAAATTGCCAATGAACCCGGCAAACTACTTTTGAATACTCTGCTTTCAACTCCTACAGGAAATATAGAGTATGGATGGATAGTTCGCATACGTTTGAGTGATGGTTACAGATTGAACGAGATTGTGGAGAAGACTGGAAGTATACCGAGGATATTCTTAGAGAACATCTTAGATCTGTGTTCAGTCTATAAGTTCACCAACGTTGGCTTTCAGATGTGGACATCCTCGTATCTTCTTTCATTCAGATTATCTCGAATGTTCAAACCAAACACTCTTACGTTCAACGAAAGATCCGGGAAATTTCAAACTCTATGCACAAAAAGATTGTTGTAAAGTTTTCATCAGACGACTCCATCTTAACTCAGTATGACAGGCATCCACGTCAGACTGGTTGATCGTTCTTTGGGTTTTTTTGCTTGGTGCATATGGTACAGCAGTTGCATGGTATGCTGTGACCGAACAGGTACGATTCATGGGTATACAGTGTTATCTGATTCTTTCAAGTCAATTACAAAGGATTCTACAAACTCCGGAAATGAATATTCCCTCGATTGTGAGGATGGGAAAACTCAAATGACCACACTAGGATAGATAAAGCTTCACTATTATCGTCAATTTTGAAACCAGTTGTTTCGAATATTCGAGATTACTTCGCCGCAGTTCAGTGCCGTAGTATTCTGGAAATCATAACGGTTGAACTTATGAACGTAATTTCTTACAATCAAAACATCCCAGAGAGTTGAAGGTTGCTTCCGAAGTTGGTTATTCTTCCATCCTTGGCTAATGAGATCAGCACATAAATCTAGGAGCATAGATTTCTCGGAGTACAAGAAGCTGAACGAACCATATGTCGATAAGAAGTCTGGATAGCTCAAGTTGATTTCGGCCTCGAACAAAGTTTTAATTGCTGGATCTATTTCCGATGTTCTAGACATTCCTATCACAAAAACGTGGTGCGATTGCCGCAAGTGGGTGAGGAAGTTGCGGAACAACATCTATGCTATCGTTAGGGTTGCCTGCTCTCGAGTCATAACTACCTTAGTACCAGTATCCTTTGATTTCTGTCTTGGAAATTGCTCTAGCCGATCAATGGCAACCAGAATGGTTTTATCAACTTGGTATAGCTACAACGATATCATCTGATGTCTTACATATATCCTACTTTTGATATCCATTGTATCAGAGCTTTCGGTGCTATCATTACGGTTCTTGCAGTTATATATAGATAGGTGGCAGATGTTCGAGCAGCTATCTCTTCAACCCAACGTGATTTACCACACTTTTCAGTGCCAATGAGCAGCGTCCAATGGGGTCTCTGTGGAATATGCCACGACGATAGCACTACAAACCATGTTCGAAAAATTATTCCAGTAGACTCACTGAGAGGATAAATGAACAGTGGCTCCAAGAACTTCATTATATCAAATTCAAACACATGATGCTTATACTTAACCGGAGACCTGTAATAAGAACTAAGGTTTTTTTTCTATAGTAGCTTACACATAGGATACCAATCCACAAGTCCTTTTGACGTTCTCAGGTTTTCTCATTATACCCCTTTGTAAAAGAAAAAAATAGATTTTTTCGACTTTGATCCTTTCGTTCACTGCAGCGAAAGATTCTTGGTGTTCATTCTCAGTTGAAGCATTTGATTTCAGGAGCTCCAGAAGATGCTCGATGCTTTGTTCCTTAAGAAGAATAAATTAACATTCAAGTCGTCATACCTTTATGGGTCCCAGAATGCAAGAGCTTGTATCTAGAAATTTTTCCTCCTCTTCATGTAACTTCAGCTTCAGGACTGACTCCAAGCTGAGCCCGAGAAGATCTAGTTCCTTATTTCGAAAATTTCGTACTTTTCTTCGAGCCAGGTATCCTCGAACTTTCTATTTTGCTATTAGGTTGATACAGTAATACTTGAATTCCTACCGACTGAATAACAATGGCTGCTTTTTCTTCAGTTAATACGGATCGTTTGGTTTTACTTCGGTGAAGCTCAATACTTCTTCTTCTTGCTGCCCTATAGACTGAAAATAGAAAGTTTAATCGGAATGCAACCGGCTCGCGCGTGCGCAATGTTAAGAATGAAGGTGAATCCGAACACTTCCGCGGATATGCTAATTTTATGAAACTGACAGCGTTCCATTTTTTGGATGATGAGCACGGCTTCTTCAAAGGTGAGGGGCCTATCCTTCTTGTTCTAAACACAAGATCGATATCGAGGTTTAGGTTTGCTCTTACGTCGTCAAAGCTCAGCTCGGAGAAGGTCTGTTTTGTTTTTGGAACTGATGGTTTGGTTACTTTCCGAAAGGTGGATTCCATGGATTTGACAAACATCTTCAGAAATATTTCCGAATAGATGTTTCTTCTCTGATGTATCAGTGATTTCTTCACTCGATTAAGCTTCTTCAAAAAAACTTGTTAAAAATTAGTTGCTGAGACCTTACAAGATTAACGCCCAACTTTGCTCTCTCCATTGTCCAGGTGTGAAATACATCAACTGAGCTGACGTGAGAGATATGGGAATTGAAGAAGATCACAAACTGGCGAGTGACTCCTACTGGCATTAAAGTCATTGGAAACTAAGTTCGTTACCTATTAAAACGACTTGGTTGACTGCCGAAGGTTCTATGAAGTAAAGCTGGTTAGCACATTCCACTGTGAGCTCGAACTGTGTTACAATACTGAATATGAGACTCGAGTTGTCTATGGCTTTCTGAATTGGGAAAAGCTGTTGAGAAATTGAAAAGAAGCAGATGCCTTTTCTTTCAGTTCATTATTGGTTGAGAATGTAGATAACAAACTATGTAACTGTTCCAGGAGAAGGCAGAGCGAGTGCTTAGTATCGGACAGCATGTGAGGCAAATGACTTCGAGTTATTAACGTTCAATGCTCATGTTTCCACTTCGATGACAACACTATGCGAAATGCCAGAAATTTATGCAGTTTTGTGGGAAATAAATTAACATAATAAATAATAAGAAATGATTAGGAAGATGATGACTTTCGAATGCTATCACAGAAGAAAACGAAATGGAAAAGATAAGTACGATACCCAGAACCCATAGACGGTGAAAAGAACAACAATAACAAATAATTAAGCTTCTTCTTCATTCTTCCTCTGTTCATCTGTGTAGAAGTGACGCTTTCTACGTTTGGTAGGCAGCTCCATGGCGGCAACCTATAAATACAGGCATGATACTGTTACTCTGTTTTTTCAGTATACTTGTAATGGCCATCCACCTCCGATCACACCAGCTTGTACAGAAGCTCCAGTGACAACAGCCAACTCCGGATCAACCCCGAAGTTCGGAGCTTTTCTGAAAGTAAACGATGAATGATGAAGAGACCTAATCATTACCCAAAGTAGTGTCCGACAATCTGTCTGACTTTCGGGATTCTCGTGGACCCTCCAACTAGAACAATTTCATCCACTTCTTCACGGCTAAGATTGCCATCATTCAATGCTGCTTCGATTGGTTTTTCAATGGCCTTGAACAAGTCTTCGTTCAACCGTTCAAACTCATCACGTTTCAACTGCAAGAGAAGTAGATGTTTAAAAAACTGAAAACATTTACAGACCTCATAAGTCCACGTTCCAACTTCTCGAAGATCTAACTTCATAGTAGCCTTTGGATGAGTGGTAAGTTTCTTCTTTGCCGCCTCAACCTCTAACCGTATTTGTTGAAGATCTTCTTTGTTTGTAATTTCAACACCAAATTTTTCATGAATCAGCTGTTTTATAATGATGACTATTTATAGTTCTCTCCGCAACTTACTTTGACTATATGTTTTTGGACACGATCGTTGAAGTCTTGTCCCCCTAAGCGGTTGTTTCCTGCCATAGCTTGTGTTACGAAAACACCACCTTGTAACCACAGGACGGATACGTCTAAGGTTCCTCCGCCTGGAAAAGGATTCAAATAGAAAAATGCAAGATCCTGGATGTTAAAAATTCTTTTCATCATTCAACAGTACCTAAATCCACAACAACAACACTCTCAACACCCTTCTTCTTATGAAGACCGTAAGCCAAAGCCGCAGCTGTTGGTTCAGAAATGACTCTTCTCACTTCCAATTCTGAAAAGCTTGTACATGGATGGAGATATTAGATTCAGGATTACCAGCTTTTTCTGCCGCTTTTCCTGTTACATTTCTTTGAGCTTCTTCAAATTCAGCTGGAACAGATATCACAACCTAAATTCAGTTCATATAGGAGGCTCTCTCTTTCAGAAACAAACTTGACTGAGTGGAGATTTCAATTCCTTTTCAGCGAAATCTTTGAGATACTTTATGATAATACCGCCGATATCTTCAGGATAGACCGTTCTTGAAAGGTGAAGAGTAATGAAAAAAGAAAGAAAAGAACTCTACTTGGTTCCTTCGTCCAATGGAATTTCAAAGAAGGCTTTGCCATGGTCGTCCAATTTCACAATGAAAGGATAACGCTTTACATCAGCCTGAAGTATCAAGACTCAGTCTCGTATTATCAATAATTTTCATACCAAAAAATTGGCGTTGTCTTTATCGAAAGTTCTACCTATGAATCGTTTAGCATCATAAACAGTTCGCCTTGGATTCTTCTCTTGTTGTTCAACAGCTCTAGTTCCAACAAGGACAGTTCCATTGGGACTGGAAAAAATCACAGTTCAAAGCTTAAATTATGATACTTACAGGAATGCAACAACACTTGGAATAGATTTCTTTCCTAGATCGTCTGCTAGTATCGTTGTGTCACCCGACACAGCATGATAAATACCTGTAACAACAGCAATTTTCTACCTTCAAAGCGAAGATACGAACCTATAGATGAAAAAGTGGTACCCAAGTCGATACCGGCTATCTTAGGAGCTGGTGGGGGTAAGCCATATTTTTGGCCCAGATATCCAGCTATTAATAAAGCCATAATGGCACCACCTAGGAACAACAGTTAGTGTCATGCTAGATAAACAAACACTCACCAATCATGGACATACCAGACATTATGAATAATTTTTATGGAGTACTTAAATTTCTTAACAATAAATTATGTCAACCCGCATACCCTGGAATTAAAAATAAAAATACAACCGCTCAACATGATAACGAATAATGAAATACAATGAGTGAGAAGCACACGTGTGATTAGCATACGTCGCAATCAGTCGGTACAACAAAAATGAATACGTGACCTTTGAAAATTGTGTTAAGAGGTTATAACTTGCGTGGACTTTACTTTCTTCGCTTCGATCATGCAAAGTTCATCAGAAGCTCAAGTTTCTGTTAATCAATTTTATACTAATAGTGAATCTCTAGCTCAACATACAGTTGCTTACACCGATGACGATGAGAATGCTCTCATGTTGAAGGTGAATGACACTCTAGGCGAATGACAATATTTCCGTTCTATTCAGAAGCTCAATGCAACAGAGATCAGGGAATTCTTTGAAATAGACGAAACGATTGAATGGATCAAGCGTCAATCATTAACACGATTAGCTTTACAGTTCCCAGACTCTTTCCTTCCTTATTCAGCCCTTGTAAGTAACTTATTAGAAGAAGCAACCGAAGTCAAAACTTTCATATTAGCCGATACTTCATATAAAAGGTGATTTCTACTTGTGATTCATTCATAACACGTGGTTTATAGCTGTTGTGTTGATCAAGTCGCTGCTGCTCATGCCAATTGTGACTCCATTGTTCACTATGGTGAAGCTTGTTTGAGTAACATTGACTCAAGTATGAATATCAGGTTTGGATAGTTCATGTACCCTGACCATATTCAGTTTTAAACTTCAGATTCGTGTTAGGCCGTATTCCTTGTGATGAAAACAGAGTTATCAGTTTGATATCCAAAGAACTCAAAGAAGCCACGACGGATTATGTGATTCTCTCTGAAACACATTACGATCATTGTCTCGGTTAGACTTTCTTGTTAACAAGTTTTATTTTTTTAATTGAAGAAGACATAGCTAAGCTTCTCCGAGTCGACACAACTTCCAATGTTACCGTAATGCACACGATATTATCCGACGAGGAACTTGATGAGCATCATGTTAGCTTGTGTTTCATTCTGATCTTTAATTCTTATATAGCCAATTATAGATGAAAGTTCTTGGCCGGAATGTTCCTAATTCTTTTCTTGATCTCGAAAGCTATTCAGCTATTTTCATAGGATCTCCGTCCAGTTCCTTTTTGGCTCTATGGCTTCTCACTTATCCTCAATGTAATGGATTAGCCGTGTATAATCCCCAGAATGATACCTATGACGAGCCTCGGTAAGCATTTATCACTTCCAGCAATTCGATGATCAAAATTCAGACCATCGTCGTTGAAATTATTGAGGAAGCGATTATTTCTGATTGAGAAATTCAAAGATGCTTCGACTATCGGGATTGTTGTTAACTGTGTCGGATTACGGAAGGATCAGTTAGTTTCCTTCAGCCGGAAACTTGAGCAAACTCATTTATAGAGATGCGATTAATCGGCTTATGCAGTTAGCGAAAGGGGTAGGCAAGAGAGCCTATATCCTTACTGTCGGCAAGGTATTCACAATCCAGCCCACATAATTTATGTTCAATTTCAATTTTAGATAAATGTTCCCAAATTGGCTAATTTCGCAGCGGAGGTGGATGCCTATGTGCTACTTTCCTGTCCTTTTGGAGTCGTACTAGATACATCCGAGTTCTACCGTCCTATCGTTTCCATGTTCGAAGCAGAAGTAGCGTTCAATCCTAATTGTAATTGGTCTGCTTACAAAGGATGGACAGCTGAGTTTGAAACATTTTTGAAAGGTATGAGCGTACATGAGGACATTCTTTTCAACTCACAATATAGATGAGATTGGAGAAAGAGATCCTGAAGAAACGGATGTTAGTCTTATAACGGGTACGATCAGAAACGTGAACGTGTCATCAACCACAGGTTCTCAAGATGTCGTTCTACATTCCGCAGGTTTGTATCAAAGTTTCAACCTTCAGTCATCTTCTGTTCGTTCAGGAGATAACTTCAAACAGCGAACATGGCGGGGACTAGACGACAGTATGCAGACGGATGAATCTACAGCCATTCAAGACGGTCGTCGAGGAATAGCTTCATCATACGTGAATGAAAAAACATTGTGATAGTTACAAAGTCAGTTGTTATTGTTAATGAATTGTTGTTGTTATGATCATTTATTAAGATTAAAGTTTTCCAATTTTTTCCCAAAAAGAGCCTTTCGAGTATTCTCAGAGCCTTTAGAGCGCAGTGCTCAGCCTTCCGAACACTTTGGAGAAGTCTAAAAGGTACTGCACGAAGTGGGATTTGAACCCACGCCCTCATACGAGGACCAGAACACCCAACTCCGAACCTTGGAGTAAGACATTTCATCTTGAGTCTGGCGCCTTAGACCACTCGGCCATCCGTGCTTGATAACGATGCAAACAGTTCCATTAAAGTATTTGGACTGACATGCCTGATAAGCGCGTAAGCTTCGTTTGATTCAGTACTACACGTACATTCCGGAAATAAGCTTTTGTCTGAAGCCAAGTTGTGTTCGCAAGCCTTGTTTATTCCATATAAGCCTAGCACATGGGAAGTTGGCGCTGTGCCAGGGTAGTATCGATTTTGGACTCTCCCCTCTCTTGTCTCCACCCTTTTCGTCATATAAAGAAAGTATGTATTTTCTGGCCATTATCTTTTTTCTAATATGTAAATTTGTTATGTTCATATCTTTTTCGTTGTTGGTTGATCTGTACATCAAAGGTAAATGTCGCTTATAGGTTACATCGCTAATCCCAATAATTTCTGATGTTTTGTGTGTTTGGCCATAAGAGGGAAAGGGATAGAGAGAAAGATAAGAGAAGAATGAGAGAGAGAGAGAAAGGGAATGAGCTAGAGAAATAAAATTTCAGTTCAAGAATTGAATTCTGAGAAAAAATCTTCGTTGTTACTCCGAAATGATTAGTGTGTCCAAGTTGAGGGAGAGAGTTTCCTAACATTTGCCAATTGAAATGACCTCATCGCGTGTTTGTCAGGTGAATACATTAACGTTTGAGTTTGTAATTGAACTAGCCGATAGTGTTAAGATCCATGAATTGCAACCTTGTATGGCAGTAGCAGGAATCTTATAAAGCTTTTTGTCATCGATTGTTTTAAGAGAAGAGTACTTAAAAGCTCAAACTGCCGTCATTTATCGGAAATATGAAGATGTCGTATCCGCTTTTCTAATGGAAACTTCTCTAACTCAATTTTTTCATTAATTGAATTTTATATTCGTTTTTCTTCTACGAAAGGTTTCGTTAGCCATTCCTGTCTCCATATTTTTAGTTTTGGGCATAGAGAGAGAGCATGTATGCAGATGCTTGGTGTGTATGTGTGAGTGTGTAAGTGTGTGTGTGTGTGTGAGATCAAGATGTATTCTCCATCTTTATCATTTTGATGTCGTGATCGCAAGATTTTTCTAAATCTCGTTTATCTTCTCTCATATTCATCAAAGGGTGTAGGTTTTCACTGAATAATGAATATGTTGTCCTCCTCCTCCTTTACGGTGCTTGTCGTGGCGCTGAAGCCGTGGCAGTCTATCTATCGCCCCGCAACAGGGCTTCTATGCTCTCGTTTTCTTCTGCTTTCGTGTTTGCTCTTCTTCCTCCAGTCCATATTTATTAAATCGAGTTCATTAGTTGTCAAAAAGTGAGAAAGGCGTTAAATTGGAGCCAGCTGGAGATATTCAACCCTCTCTCCCCCTTACACCCTATGTTCCCGCAATTTGTTGAACAGACATGTTCCAACGCTCCAACCAATGGGATTTACTGAAAGGTATTTTTTAACTCCAAAAAAAGAAACGCAATACGTCAGAGAGAGAGAAAGAGAGGGAAACTGAAAGACCGAGAGAATGAGATAAACAGGGAAATAAATAGAGATGAAATAAACATGGAGGGACAGAAGAGAGAAACAGAGGAAGTGGAGAGATGAGCTGCAGACGACGAAGCTTCATCAGAACTAATGTTCCCTTCTACCTAGCGGCTGCGGCGACAACGAATTCCTTCTTGTCTGCAAACTCTGATTTAATTCAAAACACGACATTTACCTAATCCTACATTATATTTGAGTGTTTGATTGCCTTTGCATAGCCATGTGTCTTTGTCCGATTCGGTTTAATCCAACGTTCTCCCCAGCTTTCTTATTATCTCAGCTATTTCTATCGTGAAGCTTCGAACATGATATATCTATTTCCTTTCTTCTATCCTCGTTTTTTCTTTCGCTCCGCTCTGTCTAGGGTTTGTTTCATTCAAGCTTCCTGAAGCTATTCCTGAAATCTTCTCAAATAACAATCTGACGTGTTTGCTTAGGATAATCATATATAGAAGTTCATGTCGTTTATCTTGTTTCCATTAAAGAACATATCCTAATTTACGTCATTACAGAAACCTCACATTGCCTTAACATCAACGTTTGTGATACTAAGCCAATTGGGAACAGAAGCTGCAAGCATTGAGACTGAAACAACCAACACATCCGGCTCAGTGAGTTTGCTTTCATAAATCAGATTTCTGGCTCAATCCATCCATCTTTTGCCATTTTTCTTATTAACATTATTCTGGCGTAATGAAAAAATTCATTGGATCAATCTTCTTTATGAATATTTCATTCACTTCAAATTGCTCAACATACATTTTTAGTGCATGCAGAGCCGGGGAGGGGATAATTCCTCATCCGACTACCGGGTTGCTGTCTTTGGCGCCGGTGGAGTCGGAAAATCCTCAATAGTTCAGCGATTTGTCAAAGGCACTTTCTCAGAAAGTTATATACCTACTATAGAAGATACTTATCGACAGGTTTGTTCATATCTATTCATCTCACTCAGCTTACTCAAGCTTCCTCCCTTCCAAGAGTGAACAATGAATTTCATCTGTTACAGGTTATAAGCTGTAACCAAAAAAATGTGTGTACGCTTCAAATTACTGATACGACAGGAAGCCACCAATTTCCGGCCATGCAGAGATTGAGCATCAGTAAAGGGCATGCATTTATGCTCATCTATTCCATTACCAGGTTCACTCCTTTCTTGTCATTAATACGATTAGTCTTTAAAGCAAGCAATCCCTGGAAGAACTTGGACCTATCATCCTTATGCTGAAAGAAGTCAAAGGCGCAGCGATTGCTGAAGTTCCCATAATCTTAGTCGGAAATAAAAAGGATGAAGAGGCGGTCAGTCAAATTTTTATCAGCTTTTCTCACCTCCTCTCCCACCCCACGTATCTGATGACGTCAATGCTTTATCAATCCTCAGCAGAGTCCTTAATGACTAAAGATATTGAAATTGGAATGAAAAGATCAGAAATCTCATGTTACATGTTGTAATTAGAGGTTTCTGTGAGACAAAAAAAGGCAGCCACGTCCCCCCTTTCATATTCGAGGGAGACTTCAAGCTAGAAGGAAGTAGTTCGTTCGCTGGCTCCAAAGAAATGCTAATCTTCATCATCCCCAGATTTCCCATTGATTTTATTTTTGTTGATTTGAAAGCAATGCCAACAGAATCTTTTCAGAAACGAGAAGTGTCGACAGCCTTGGGCCAGAAACTGGCAGCCAATTGGGGCACAGGCTTTATCGAGACCTCCGCCAAGAACAACGATAACATCACAGAGTTATTCCAACAACTGTTATCCATGGAGAAGAAAAGACAATTAGCTCTAACAGCAGAAGATCCCGAAGGCAAGAATGGCAAGAAGAAAGGATGTTCGCTTATGTAATCAAATGAAACGAGACATCATGATGATGATGACGATGTCAGAGCAGTCTCCATCAGTACTTTTCCTCAATTGTGATCTTCCTGGCAATCTCAAAAACTGAGAAGCATATAATCATTACAATCTAACTCCCGCAGAACGTCCGGGACGCATAATTTCCCAAATTCCGAAATATCTCCATATAAGTAGTAATTTCATAGAAAATATAGATATTATCGACTTAGCACGATATATAATTAGGCATAAAAGTGATGAGAGAGCATTTACTAGAGCTGCCCATAACAATATTATTCGTCGTGCTATGAAGATTTCATATATATAAATCAAGAAATAAATTATGTTAGCTGATTCTTAATCAACAAAGATCTGATATGAACAACGTTATTGACAATTAATATACATATGATGAGAGCCAAAGCTTTCTGTCAGCTTCATCCTTCTGTGTGTGTCTGTGTGTGTGGTGTGTGATGTATTGTGGTGTGGTGTGGTGTGTGAACGAGAAGCTAGCTCTCCTACCCCTGTTGGTTTTTAGTCGTCTCCTCGATGAGCCAAAAAATGGCGAATAGTAATAGAAATATGAACTAGAAGCACCACAACCACGAAGATGTCATCCATCAATCCTGCAAAACAACTTCGCCACTTCCAACCTTATCTTGAATTACCTAATGCTCCATAAACGGCTTCGGGAATAATATCAAATGGAGACAGCACGTAACCACAAATCAACATAACAGTTACAAGAACTCGTATCCTGGAAAGAGAGTAATTTGAAAAATTATTAGAATTTCTAGCTTCTACCGGAACATAATCGTTAATGCATTGAATCCAAATATATTTCGCAGAATGTATGGAACCAGCACAGGAAGATCGGTAATGTAGTCTAACCACTTCAATTCAATTATCATTTATGCAATTCGCTCAAAATATACTGGACGGTTTCCGGAAAATCGTTTATTATAGTTGTCTAGCTTTGATAGGTTGTCGCGAAGATGATTCTGATCATCAGGGGTCGTAGGCCAATCGACAGGTAACAGCAGAGTTATCTGAACAGCATACACTCACGCTTCATCATCACATTGACTGGACTTACGTCTGTTCGACAGATTGGACATTTTATCAGAGAAATTATGTTTCCACGGAATGACCAATACCCATGGATACATTCACCTTCAATCAGTTGCATGCTTCTTATCTATAGTGTTACGACTTACAGCAGTACATATGTCCACAATTTGTCAAAACGGTGAAACGAAAATTCCCATAGCAAATCGCGCATGTTTGATCTTCCCTCGATTGAGCCTCTTCAACCCTCTGGAATTATGAATGTGTAATGGAAACAGATGCTAAGAAAACCCGAGCGAATTCTTCTTCCTCTATGAAACCTCTTCTATAACTTCTCATTAGCTCGACATCATCTGGATGTAATAGGAGTGGACTTCTTAAGATAGAATGCAAAACTGGGGTTAATTGGCAGTCAACCTACTCTTCATACAACTTACAGACTGCCACAATACCGAAAAGGAGAACAGAAGATATAACGAAGATGAAAGATATGTTACTGAACCCTAATAGCGTATAAGAGTTATGAGGGAAGATAAAGAGAACTTGAAACCTTCTATGAATGTGTCATGTTGTAAGTAATCATCAAACAGCTTGAAGTAGTGGTCCATTTCCGAATAAACTATTTCACAACTAATGGCCGCGTTAAGAACTATCAGAACATTTTTGTAAACACGTCAATGCTGCTATTAATTGGCCATTACTAGTGATGATACAGTTCATATTTCCTGTTTTGGATATGCTACGTAATGGAAGAGCAATAGATGCGTACATGCAACTAGCGGACTCTCATATCCTAGACGCATGTGTGTAGAGGAAAGGTCATAGAATGCTTCTGAAGTTGTGACGATACGTAATTGTGCATTACGTATTCATTCAAAATTCATGAAGCTCCAATATGACTCATAGAAGTTATTGAATTTGAAGTTCTAATGAGAATATGGCGAGCAAACAAAGCGGCGTTGTTTACTTAGGTTTGTTTTGTTTTAAATCCTCGCGTCGTTCTCTAATCTTTCATTGTCTTAGAACTAAAACATAAGAACTCCTGAGCTTCTGCTACTACTCATCTAATCCAAAAAGAAGTTTCTGACTGCAAACTAGGTTGATAGAAGAGTTCATTCTAATTGTATTATGATGTAGAAGGTAGTTTTCTTGTTATATTATTATTTGTTGTCATGGTAACGTTCGCATTGCAGCTTCGACTTCAGCAGCAAGGTGCATATCTTGTAATATTTGCTATTGGATTATTAAAACTTTAGAATTACGGGCTTCTTGTTCTTAACTGGTTATTAATCAAAATACTATGGGATCCCAATATTCACATGTGTCAACGCGTGATCCTGATGATTTCCTAGCCGGGTTCGTTTCATTACGTATCTATCGACTATTACCTAACATGGATATAGATTTCCTTCTTCATCATTCTTCACCATTTCTTTTCAGTCATGTCGATGGCACCAAAGTCGTCAGAAATTTGGGTGTTAAAAGACGATCCGTACATAGCGATGCTATAGGCGCTCTTGTTGTAATTCGCTCAGGTCTTGCCATATCAGGAAGCAGAGATACGGTTAGCTTACTTATGTCTCCTTTTCATGTTTCCTCTTGTTCAGACGATGGTCTTACATAATGTAGATAATGGTGATACCATACAGAAATGGTATGGACATGAAGGCGAGGTCACAAAAGTACTGTCCAAGTTTTTCCTTTACAAATTTATGTATCGTGTTTCAGCTAGCATACGGGAATAAATCTGCTGTACATATCGTCCTAAGCGGTTCTCGGGACACTACAGTGAAAGCTTGGAATTTCAAATCCGAAGCTGCCCAACAAACTTTCGAAGGACACAAGTTGGTCGTGTCAGGCTTATGCCATTTAGGAGGTTTGATATTGTACTTGACTTGTTGATCACAGTCTATTTAAAGACCATCAGTTTATGACGGGAAGTAGAGACTGTACTGTACGTATTTGGGATGTTAACTTCGCAACGTCTCTGAATTATTCTCAAATCAATAGAAATCTGGTGAGCGCAAACAACATTCATTTCTTATTTTCTTGAATCCAGGTAACTCATATGACGTACAATCCAACAACCAACTTAGTAGCTCAGTCTTCAGAAGACAAGGAACTAAAGCAAGCGAGCAAAGAAGTAGAATTATGAGCAACATAGCTTTTCAGACTGTGGGATCCTCGATCCATGACAGTAAGTCATCGCTTCCCTAAGAGGAATCATATACAACTACATTGTGAATGGACTCCAGATGGTGGACAAATAATTACTTCAAACAATGGATTCAATGGGGATGGTTGTGAAATCTCAGTAGCCTACTCTCTATCGTCCTCCTTTCACTTCGATATTTTCAGATATGGGATTTGAGAGCAAAGAAGTTGCTCAGAGATTTGAGAGGTCACGAAGGAAATGTGACGTGTGTTTCGTACATTTCCCAAACAAAGTTACCTAACAAGCGAATACTCCTCAGTTGTTCATCTGACAGAACAGCTCGTATATGGAATATAGAGGAAGGAAGTGAGTTCTAAGCTTGATGGTTCTATATATAATTGTGAAATCAGATTGTTTATGGGTTGAAGAGATGGGAACGACTTCTGATTTACAACAGTGCGTAGCCTTAGGCGACACTTAGTGAGTTTTTCTCTTACAGCCTTTTCGACCGAAAGTTCGTTTCAGTGCTGTTGTCGCAGGTGGTAATGGTCTGCTTTGTAATATGAGAATTCAGTATAAAGTAGGCAAGCCGTATTTACAAACCATATCTGTACAACGCAATGAAAAAGAGTAGTTTGATAATGAAATTTTTTGTTTGCAAGCAGAAAGCAATGGTTGCGTACACACCTCAGCGAGATATGATGAGAATATAAATTTCTAATGTTTCTTCAACAGCTTGAATTCCAGCTTGAAGTATGAAATAAAAATAAAAACTTTCTTGTTCGAGATTTATATATGTTTTGCGAAAACCCTGTTCATTTAATGTCTCTCAGCTACTGATGAGGATAATGGAAGTGTTGTACACTTTGGTTCAATCGAGGATGCACTGTTAGTAGAGAAATAAGGAGTACCATTCCATCCGGAATAGTCAGACATATGATACAATCCATCATCATAGAAGTATCACGATCAAATGAAATGACTTGTTTCACATGACCTGTTACTTTCTGAAACCATAGTCCCGAAATCCGAAATGTACAGCGGAGCA